TTTTAATTAGCGAGTAACAAATAAAAAAATTATGTTAACTTATCTACTTTATTTATTTAAAATTTATTATTTTATTTACAATTTTGTTGTTGAAAGCAAAGATTATTTTTCAAAATATCATTTTTTTTAAGTATATTGCTGTATATAACGTTTATTAAAAAACAATCACTGCAATTTAACTTGCATTATTAAAAAAAAAGTTTAACTTACGTTTTGTGCAAATTTTTGATGCAGCTGTTTATTTAAAATTTAATTTTGAGTAAAAAAAAAATGTTTAGGAAGGAAAACCGAAAAAACAATTGCAATAAAAATGAGCTAATTTTTTTTATATTTATATATTTTTTTTATAAGAATAAATTTATATATTTTTATTAAATTAGTTTTATAATAAATCAAATATTTTTTATCAGAATTAAATTATATAAATCTTTGCTTTAAGCTTAAAGTATTTTCCAAGCGTAAAAGTCAAACTTATAATATAAATTACTTAATATATAAGGGTTATATAAGTTAATAAGCAAAAATGAAACTTATTTTTCAATCTTTGTAACTCTACTAGAGGTACTGAAAAAGAATGCTAAAATTGAATGAAATCCTTCTTGCTGTTAAAACGAGGCATTATTGAACTATTTTCTGCTCTTGCACGAATAAATCTGTCTTGTTTCTCAAAACCAAACACTGTTTCAGAAGCTGCAGTTACCTAAATAAAATAAACTATTTTTTTAAAGTATTTTTAATGCAGTAAATTTTTTTCTTTAATTTTTAACAACTAATATATTATTGAGGTTAGGGAAAGTTAATTTGACCTCATTAACTGCTCTCTCAACTCCTTGTGTGTGAACAGGGAAATACGGAACTACAAAATACAAAATAAAAACAAAATAAAAATAATTTTTAATTTTATTTGAGTTTATTTTGTTAGTAAATAGCGGTTATATCTAACATAATTGTCATTCAAATTTTTGTAACAAATATTTTTACAGTTACATAATCCTGGTCAGGTCAGGTTTATCCTGCTACTGGTAACATGTAACCCAGTACAATCTGCTTTATGTCCTGCTGCCTTGTAGGATATGCCTTTTTAGGCAAAGGCTAAGAGATGCAAAATCCGACATAAAACACCCCCTACCTTGGAGCTCTTGGTTGAGTAAAAGCTAGAGATGGTGTCTCGATAAAAATACTCTACATACTACAGTGTACATCCAGCTGCTGTCTTGTAGAAGGCCTCCTAGGCAAAGACTTAAGGGGTAAACAGATTCTATCTGTTGACGAGTTACGGCTTGTTATGGCTTTGGGTTTATTAGTGGAAATGAGGCAATTGCTTGGGCTATAAAACAGTGTACTGAGTACTATCTATGTTTCGAGTCAAGTTCTTTAACAAATTTAAAAATGAATAAAGTAACAAAAACTATAAAACACAAAAAACCACAGACATTACCAAGTTCGCTAAACCTATCATTCACCAATATTCGTGGTCTTCGAAGTAATTTTTCTTCTGTTGAGTCTTACCTCTTGCAAAATCACCAGACCTACTTGCTCTTTGTGAGACTAATTTGAGTTCAGCTGTCTCATCTTGTGATCTGTGATCTAGTGTTGATGGTTATCTTCCTTTAATTTGTAAAGATTCCAATAGTCACATGCTTGGCCGAGGCATTTACATTCGTAAGAATTTACCCATTTGTTGGGAAACTAGGTTTGAATCCAGAGACTACTCTTTTATGCGCTTTTGTTTAGCACCACTTCACTCTATCACCTTTCTCTTTGTTCTATATCGCTCTCCTTCATCTCAAAACTGCACTATTCTTGATTTTATATTGTTGTTGTCGGTGACTTTAATGTTCATCACACTGAATGGCTTGACTCTAGTGTCAGTGACTCCGCAGGCATTAAGGCCCACAACTTTTGCCTTTCTCAATTCCTAACTCAAATACTCAACTTTCCAACTCACATTCCAGACAACACGAATCATTTACCTTCTCTACTCAACTTATGTCTTGTTTCTGATCCTAGTCAGTGCTCAGTTTCTCCACACTCACCCTGAGGTGCTTCTGATCATGGTTTGGTCTCTCTAAAACTATTATCTCATTCTTCTTTACCATCAGAATCCCCCTATCATTGTACATCTTACAACTACCTTAAAGCTGACTGACTTTCCATAATTTTCTTTGTGATGCCCCCTGGGTAGAAATGTTTCGTCTTCCTTTTGACAAAGGTTATAGTCTTGCAGAAGTGTTCTCCGGAGCTGTCATCTATCCTTTCAAAACTATTTAACAAGTGCTTATCAGAGTCTTGTTTTCCAGCCTGCTGGAAAGCAGCATCTGTTATCCCTATTTTTAAAAATTCTGGAGAGCGATCCGATTCGTCTAACTACCGTCCCATTAGTCTTCTTCCTGTCATAAGCAAGGTTTTTGAATCTTTAATTAACAAACACTTAATCTCTCATCTCGAACCTCATAACCTACTTTCTGATCATCAATATGGATTTCAATCTTCTCGTTCT